CAATACTGGCCAAGAACTTAAACCAAATATCACAAATTACAATCTAAACCTTACCAACAACTTTAACTATTGTCTGGTGAAGAAAAATCTATCATTTACTTCATTTACTAGGAGGAAGTTACAATAAATTACCTGTCAAATGCTCTAGAAAATTATTTCAGATCAAAGTAATGAAATGTGGTTCACTCTTACTCATTATTATATAGATTCAATACTTGAAAATCATGATCAAATGTGCCTAAGAAATCAATGAACTTATTCCTATGAGCCTTACAATCAAAGCAACTGGCAAGTCACTTAAAGGGGCCCCTTCACTAGTTAAAAAACTGGCAATATTCAAGAAAGAGTGCACAATAAATGGACAATGTGGTCCACATCTAGGTTTTTCGACAATTAATAATGGAGGGGGGGGAATATGTATGGGCTTTAGCAGTGCTGTGACTCCAAAAGCTTTATCTATCTAGTATGTAAATATCAACAGAGAATGCAGGCTAATAATCTAAGCGTTATGGCTAATAAAAATGGCAAAGCCACTGCCTAGTCCATCATACTGATGTTAAAGAGATTTGTGAAATTGGAGTTCACACATTTAAACAATGCCTTCACTTATATCCAAAATGACTGAGAAACTCGGGGAAAAAGACAAATGGATTAGATCCCCAGTCCAATACACTATCCAAAAACTATTAAAGGCACAATTATGCTGAATACAAAGCTGAAAAAGGTAAGATCATTGGCAGTCAAATCCCAGTCTAAATAATCAGAGAATTCCTCATATATCTTAACTGCACCATTAAGGAAACCTATTTTTACCACTGCTCACAGGATAACTCAGAACCAAAAGAGGACTGACAAATCAAAATGATGCCTGGTGAAGTGCCACTTTATGACAGTGGGCATCTCCTACAAAGCCCAAATGAAGACTTGTTTTCCAAAGAAAAATAACATGCCATTAAAATTCCTTCAAAACTGCCAGTAAAACAGCAAATTATTTTTTCCTGTTTCTTATTTCCAGCTTTAAACTCTTTCTGCTTTTATCATAATTCTGGGGGAACAAATTGTTCTCACAACCCTTGCCACCTTCACCAAAACAATCTCCTTCATAAATTTAGTGATTTTCTAATCTATTGAAAAAGGAAAAGAAAATCACTCAATATGCCTAAATTTGTTAGTAAACAGATGCATTACTTCTAATCAACTTTTGGAACACAGCTCATTTTTGTCTTCAATCACCATATTTATATCTAGCATGTTAATGAAAGATTCCAGCATTAATCAATGTTACTTGCATGATTTAAAATGGCAGAAATCTTAACAGCAAAAGAGTCACTTCAAAAAACATTTGACTGAAATGTTAGGTTTGAGAACTCTTCAATAAACTATGCTTAATAAATTATACATGCATATAAGATAAACAACATACTAGTATTTAATAGTTGGGAAGAGTAAGCTACAACTGCTCTAATTTTTGTATTGAAAAGAAAAAGTAACCAAGTTGAAAAAATTATATCATGACCTACGGTGCTAAATTTTGGAGATTTTAAGAAAATATACAATAAATATCACTCTTCTGTTTGACTAGCTACCACATTCTCCATTGGCAGAGCTGACTAGTTCATTTTCTCCCATTCCCTTTCTTTCTTGCAGCAGAGGCTATTTGATAGGAACATCTGACAC